CTCCTAGTGTGGTTTCTCCACTTAACGTAACCGTTGCAGAGGATTAATCGTTCCTCGTGGCGAGTCATTGGTCCCTCTGCTCAACGGAGATGACAAGAGCGCGCGTCATCGCGGAAGTCCGTTTCTCGATTCGCGTCCTCGCAATGGAAATCTGCACGATGACTCGGTGAATAAAAGTAAAACGCTCTAACTCATACACGACAATCGTTGCTCGTCCATGCATTCTGCTCCGAAACGAATCTTTCCTTGTGTCGTCGTACTCCATTCGCCTAACCTTTAAGCTAATTTTTCTTTATTATTATACTCGAGAGTGTTGCGGAAACTATGGGGGAAAGTCTTTTGTTAATTAGTATGTAGCGGCTAACGACTAACGAACGTTACGACCATAAGTGCGCAGAATGAGTATAGCAAATTCTTTTGTGGAAGAAAATTGAATTTAATATGCGAAGAAGAGTCTTATTGTTAAGCATGATTGTTAACCCTTTGCACTCGAGAGGTAACTCTCAGTTGGCTTTTCTTTAGGTTTAATTTCTTTGGAACTCAAAGTGCCAATAAAATGATTGTCGTTGAGGCAAAGGTGACCTGATTCTCAAATCTCAAGTTAGAGATCTCAACATAATCTTAGCATTCGTGGGAATAGAATGCTAAGAAAGCATCTCGAGTTGCTGGTAGATATCAGAAAAGAGGCCTCGAATGCAAAGGGTTAAAAGAAATGCTTGAATGCAACTATCTAATATTTTTTCTTATTACAATACACAAGTTTCAGTAACGGAAGATGAGGCAGTCATTCATTCTTATGAAATGAATGACTGCGACAGGACTTTTCAAAGTCTCTTCGAGTCTTAAACAAGCATTCTTTGTCAAGTACACAATTGCTTTGTGAATTATAGTATTTGTAAATTTTTTGAAAATTGATTGAAACTAGCTAGTCAATGTTAACCCTTCGCACTTGAGAGGTGACTCTCAGTCACTGCTAGGTTTTCTTTAGGTTTAATTTCTTTGGAACTCAAAGTCCCAATAAAATGATTGTCGTTGAGGCAAAGGTGACCTGATTCTCAAATCTCAAATTAGAGATCTCAACATAATCTTGGCATTCGTGGGAAATAGAATGCTAAGAAAGCATCTCGAGTTGCTGATAGATACCAGAAAAAAAAAGGCCTCGGGTGCAAAAGTTTAATGGCTACGAAATGATTTGCTATGCTTGTTTCTTAGAGTGGTCCTTATTTTAATAATTTGTCGAGTCTGTGTTACGTAACAATAAGCTTACCAATGTTAAGCTTGGTGATTACTAATGAAGCTTCGTGGAATTTTTTTCATTGATTACTTTTAATTTTATAATTCTGGTGAAAATTGATGGAATGATTCGAAACTTGGCAGAGTTATTGCTTGTGATGATAGGAAGAAGCCTAAAACCTAAAAGCTTCAGAGTTTTATCTGAATTATTTCCCTACAGACCGGTAAGCATGAAGCTTTACCACAAACAGCTTCGCAATACAAATAGCCTTCTATTTACCAGCCTTTTACGCAAGGGAATTTTTTTAGCAAATCTTCCTGTCGCTGTAACTAACAAATCTGCCAAATTTCTAATCGTTCCATCAATTTTCACTGGAGTTATTCAAAAAGAAAAAGGGTGATTCATTTTAAAAAATTCCATCAAGTTAAGTGGCCTCAAGTTTTTGGAATACTTTTTTTTTTATATATATTCGCAAGGTATTACAAAGTGCGTAACATGTATTTAAAAGATCCTTAAAACAAGGACCACGCTATTATTTATATTCCATTCACCAGATAATGTTATCTTTCGTAACGTTTACAACGATATCCAGACAGAAATAGGAAGCCCTCGTCTCGGGCGAGCTTTATCTCTCATTCTGATTCTTCCAGGCCGAAAGGAAAATGGACGTCCGTGTTCCGAGCAACTTCTTAGGTACCAGCGTTCCCTTTATTCGCTTTTATCATCCAACGTGTACCTACTTAACTAATTATACATATATGGAACGCTTTGTACCTAAAAAGTTCACCGTTTTATTAAACATAACGTTAACGATACCACTTAAAGTTGTCCGCTGTATACGCATACGTACACACAAACACACACACATACTTACACTGATCGAAAAGCATCTCTGTGGTCTCCATTTGCTTGGCTTTCAATTAGACTCTCTATAGCACAAATTTCCGTCGTTGGGAACAGAACATTTCTTTCGGACGACGACGCACTTAAAGATTTATCTTTCTGCGATATTCTCAGGTTTATCTGCTCTTTTAGTGTTTTCGACGCTTCTTTACCGACCGTTTCTAGTTATCGACCGTTCCCAATTATCGACAGTCGAAAGTGTAATCGCGAGCTCGATTCGTTGTTCGCTGCTCGCGTGGCGTGGAAATCGTTTTATATTTTTCACGGAGGAATATCTCGTAGAAACGGCGTTGAGAGCTCTCCATGCCACGCGAACGAGCGAACACGCATTTTTAAGGGGACTTTTCAGGGGCACTGTTACCGACTGAACACCATATAGCACGTAGCTTTTTCCGATTTACTCTTCTCTTCACGCTCTCGCATGTGTTCGACTATGGCTGGCTCGTTGGGACGATTATTCCGCGAGCGAAATGAAATTATTTAAGTAGTACATTTCATTCCCTCTCAGATTTATTTAACATGTTTCTATATAATATATATGTCGAGAAATGTTTTCACGAGATTTCTCGAGGGAATCGAAGCGAATCGTACGGTGTAAATTATTTGTAGTTGAACCAACCTTGTAGAGTTTTAATTATATTAAATATTTATGATTATATTATATAATTAATTAAATATTAATAATTATACAGGGTGTCCCAAAAATGTTGTAACACATTGAAAGAAGTGGTTCGGGAGGTGATTTGAAACAACTTTTTCCTTAGCGAAATTGTTATACGAGGCTTCGTTAAGGAGATATTAACGAAAAACTCCGGACCAATCAGAGTGCGCGTATACCGTTGGAGCGCCCGCTGATTGGTCAGGGTTTTTTGTTAATATCTCCTCAACGAAGACTCGGACAATATTTTCGCTAAGGAAAAAGTTGCTCCAAATCACCTCCACTCTGTATATACAAGGTGTACCAAAAACGTTGTAACACCTTGAAAGAGGTGGTTCGGGAGGTGATTTGAAACAACTTTCTCCTTAGCGAAAATGTCATCCGAGGCTTCGTTGAGGAGATATTAACGGAAAACACTGACCAATCAGAGCGCGAGGATGCCGGTGGAGCGCCAGCAGTAGGCGTGGCTACGCGCTAGGCGGCCGCGCTCATACGCTACCGCGGTCGCTCCAACGGTATTCGCGCGCTCTGATTGGTCAGTGTTTTCCGTTAATATCTCCCCAACGAAGCCTCGGACAACATTTTCGCTAAGGAAAGAGTTGTTTCAAATCACCCCCCGAATCACCTCTTTCAATGTGTTACAACATTTTTTGAGACACCCTGTATTATATAATTAATTAAATATTTATAATTTATAATTATTTTAATTATACGAAATATAATGTAGCGTTTATCGTATACGCGATAAAGGCTCGAATTATTCGTTCCATACAATTTGAATCTAAAAAAGTTGATTCCTAGCGCCAGCCCTGGTCGAGCACCCTGTGCATCTCAACTTATTCTTACATTTATCCCCGTGTGCCGCTCTCGCTCGTAAATCGATTTGTATCGAAACCCCCCCCCCCGGCCCGTTCGGTCGAATTACGATTAATTATATAAGCGAGTCGCGCACAGCTTTTGCACTCGTATTTTACTTACCGTTGACTCTTATTACTGGTGCACCACGCCTCTGTCTGACTATACCTTGACTCGTACCACGTGCTGGTATTCTACTTTACCGGTCGACTTTATAGACCTCGAACGACACTTTCTACCGAAAACCATGGACGATTCACTTAGGAGACATCCTATTTACAGAATATTCCACCTTCCTTACGCTTTAACCAGTGTTTCGCGACACGATTCGCAGACTATTCTATTCGCAGAATATTCTATTACACCACCGTAATGAGACGCTGTACTTGATCTCGTGGATCATTGTGCACTGCGAGATCTATTCGTAGGGGTGGGCTTTCCTGTGAATTCGACACCAAACAATTTATATATATATATATATATATATATATATATATCTTTCATTTCTTTTCAATTCGCTTACCAGTTCAATCCGTTCGCTCGAGTAGTTATCGATCGAACAGCGAACGATCGAGGAATCTACCTTATCGTCCATTGATGTGCGTCGAACGATCAATTTCGAATAATTCCCGCGTTCTCTCGACGACTTCGAAGTGGCTGGGGAAATATTTGGCACTTTGGCGAGAAATTTTTAACGATGCGTTATATTACCTTGCATGCCCGCGAGAGCTATCCTCGGTTTCCGCTTTTTTCCGATCTCTGTTCAACCTTTTCTTACGTTCAGTTCTGTTTATTTCTATATTCACTTCATGCGAGTACCGTGGGTGTATTCAGGTCACGTCGACTTATGTACATCGAACACGTTATCGACAGGGTACCGATCTACGTTCAGGCACCTTTTAGCCGAGTGCTCGTGTCACGGTAAAAAGCACTTTGCGTTTGTCGGTAACGCTTTACCGACCGATGGCTATAAAATTAATTGTAACGATATCAACTTTCGTAACGTTTATTCTTATTAGTACAGATCATATTTATACAGATTAACATTCGTACAGTATTTTATAATTCGTGTAAAGACAGTATGCCGTTTCGATTTAGTAAATAACAAAGTCGCTATGGTGAACCGGTCGGTAAGGAGTCGGGATCCTGCGGTTACCATTGGAACTGTTCGATTTATTCGGTTCGAAGATCAGGTACGGATCGTTAAAAGGTGCCTAAGGGATACGAAGGAAACAGAAAAATAATTTTGCTTGAAAAAGATAAGTGATTTTCGAGAAGTGGTGTACTGCTAAGTGCGTAATTGCTGGTTGCATCCTGTTATAACCATGATATTATCCTTTGCTCTTGAAGGTAATAGGTGGCGAGTTGCAGGAACGTTTGATACCAGTACCCTACAGCAAGAGTTCGACAGACCAAGCTGTAAGCGCTCCTCTCTGCTCTATCTTTCTCTCACTTTCGCTAACTCTTATCTTTTTTCTGTACTGTCTGTCTGTCTTTTATTCTATGTACACCCAGTACACGCACGCGCACACACGCCACACTTATATATACACATATACATACACACGTACACAGAGTTTCTGTCTGCTTCCTCTCTCTCTCTCTATCTCTTCCCACCCCCCCTCTCTCTCTTGCTCTCTCTCTCTTTACTCTACCTGTTCTCTGTTTACGTTTCACTGTTAAAATCCACCGTTTCGCTCTGTCACACAATCTGCTGCCCTTTGTATGCTTCGATTCGCTTCCTTCTTCTCTAACGTTTTCTCTAGTTTTATCTATGCCAAGGATCGGCACGGGCCTCTCTCGCGCGTGGTACCGCCCTGCTATCTACCAGGGCCGTTCTAACAGCATAGAGGCCCCCGTTACTTGCGCACTCTAGCGCCAATGTCTGATACTTGCGCCCCCGTTCTTACAAGGGGATCATCCATGAAGAATGTATAAGGAGTCCTAACTGTGTAGTGTAGAAGTATATATATATATATATATATATTTACTTATTTATTTATTTATTTATTTATTATATATATCGTAGTCTGTGCTCACTTGCGCCGCGAGTGGTAGAAATATTCATAACTTGAAGCTCGGGATTTTGATCACAGTTTTCTAGTAACTTTCGTAGGAAGTTGGATCTCCTTATACTTTATACAGTCTTCATGGGACCATCAAACATGGTAGCAGAGATGGGCAAAACCCTAGGCCTCGAATAAATCTAAATTTTGCCGATATACAGGGTGTCCCAAAAATGTTGTAACAGCTTGAAAGGGGTGGTTCGGGAGGTGATTTGAAACAACTTTTTCCTTAGCGAAAATGTTGTCCGAGGCTTCGTTGAGGAGATATTAACGGAAAACGCTGACCAATCGGAGCGCGAGGCGGCCGCGCTCCCCGACCAATTAGAGCGCGAGTATGCCAATAGAGCGCCCGCGGTAGCGTATCAGCGCGGCCGCTTGGCGCGCTCTGATTGGCCGGGAGCACGGACGCCTCGAGCTGTGATTGATCGGGGAGTGCGGCCGCCTCGCGCTCTGATTGGTCAGTGTTTTCCGTTAATATCTCCTCAACGAAGCCTCGGACAACATTTTCGCTAAGGAAAAAGTTATTTCAAATCACCTCCCGAACCACCCCTTTCAAGCTGTTACAACATTTTTGGGACACCCTGTATACACGCGTTCTTCGTGCCCTTCGTGTCTCTACGCAATATACGTCACATCTCTTTCCTCATACATACACACACAGACACTGGACACGCGCGACGCTGGCTGGCTTTTGTTTATCCGCTTTTCTGTCTCGGTTGTTTCTTGTTCTTCATTTCTCTTTCTTCGTCGACGCTTCGCGCCGGCGGTTGACCTTTCGATACGAGTCGATGTTCTCCTTCAAATAATCGAAGAACATCTGCGTTCGTAAATGCAAGGATAGAAAGGAACGTTGAAATATCGTACATTTCTCGATAAAGCGTTTAATCCGACACTCGAAGGGATTCGATTAGATCGACTCGATCGAAGATCGCCGGCCGAGCGTCGACGATGGCTTAACCGATAGATAAGACGAGTACATCGCGACCCTTTCAGCAGCACGTTAACACTTGCGTTCTGTTTACTTCGTACTTGACACTTTACCCTTTCTCTGTCGCTACTTCTTTTTGGGAGCGAGTATATACACGCGATCTACACAACGAACAACGACGTACCCCTACTTTCGAGCGACGAGTTCGTGCGTCGGAATTGTTACCAATTTGAATCGTGCCTCGAATAGAAAAACAGCGAATCTAGTCGCTCGAAAGAGGGAATTGCTGTGTACGTAGTCGTTAGAGTAATTGGAAAGGGACAGAGGCATAGTTGGAACGAGACCTTTCTTTTTTCCGCTCGGAGGAACACCTCCTCCTTCAAGAAGCATTTCTGCCAAGTCTCTGGCTGTAGTAGGATTTGGTCGCTGCTCGATCGAAGGGCAACCCCTTTTATTGAATGGATTTGCTGGTCCTTCGGCTAATTATGCTTACATGCAAGCGAGTAGCGGATGATATCTTTAATTGCATTCACAATACGACGTGGCTCGCGTTAATTTATTATTATTAACCTTCGTCGGAAAATTATTTCCAACCGCTCTGGATACCGAACAATTACAGAAACTCGTGCTAGGGAAACGTGGCTGTCTCCCTCTTTGTCTAACTCGAGAAAAAACTGAATTCTATCATTCTTTGGGGCGACCAAGTCGCCAGTTTTCCGGTCGTAATAGGTACTGCACTGACGCTGGAGATACTGCGCGTGCGTGGTAGACAGAGTTAGCTGTCTCCCACCTTTTCTAATTCGCGCATAAGCTTCGAGAAAAGCTTAATTTTATCATTCTTTGGGGCGGCCAAGGCGCCAGTTTTCCGGTCGTAATAGGTACTGCACTGACGCTGGAGACACTGCGCGTGCGTGATAGAGAGAGCTAGCTGTCTCCCTTGGAAATTTCATCCATTTGCACGGGGAGCTTAAGTTACGATCGCGACCCTGCGACAAGGCCCTCGACTCGCGCATGCGCGCTGTCGCTAGCGTCAGTAAAGTATGTAGTAGGAACACAAAACTGGCGCCTTAGTCGCCCCAAAGAATGATGGAATTGCAACAGAATTTGGACCATCACAGCACTGTCCGGTCTTTCTCGACGCGCATGCGCGAGTTGGAAGCAACAATAGCGTCACAGGCCACCGATGGGGGTGCCAGAAGATTATAGAGTCACTATGCAGTAATTTCTTCTGTAGATCAGTTACCCTTCGTCAGTATCATCGATACTCTCACAAATCTGCTTCGGTCTCTCCTCAATTAGTACACGTTTCTGTCAACGTTCGAGTACCAACTTAATAAATTTGCAAAATTTTAATCGCGATACTCGTCGAACACACACGATCCACGTCGTGTTCGCCAGGCACGTTAGTATTGTTTCATGCATCACGATCTTAACCACACCTAGTGTTTATACCGCATCTCTCTCATCGCGATAACCCAAACCAGGTTTCTCAGTCATTCTCGATCCAGCGAACGATCCACCAGTTTTCGTCGGCGGACAGATCGACGAACTTAACCCTTCGAGGAAGAGGTCAGGCACTGGGTGATTTTTTTTTTTTTTTTTTTTATCGATCAATTTTGAGAGACTAGTCTCAGATTACGCCAACCACGGAATCGTTAACGAAACGATGGATAAAAGTGTACCGTCCTCGTTCGAACTGTATCGTGACGAACGCGCCACGAACGACACCTTTTTTTTTTTCTCTAACTTCGCCACTGAACCTTCACTCTCTCTGTCTCGATCTCTGTCTCTCTGTTCTCTCAACGCCTACTCTGATTTTTGCCAGACGATCGACACGACTTTCCCTCCGAGGCGTTTCGGAATTCGCGCCCCTGCGCCAAGGTCTTCGACAAGGGAACATCGCATTTACGAGCTCGTGGATTTGAACGTTTATTCGTTACGTTATAAACGTTACAACCCTTGGAGCCTTTTGCCTTTACATTCGAGACTTACCCGAATTCGTTTCGACGATTAATGTTATAAAAACTAAGGCGATGGCACAAAAGCTTCTAGGATTGCGATATTTCTTACCCATAGAATAAACGTATAAATCGTCGAGCAAATCTACGACCATATACATGCGACGTCACCTTGCGGGCCTGCAAAAGGTTGTTCGGGGCGACTGAGGCGCCACTTTTACGATCGCAGTAGATACTTCGCTGACGCTAGAGACGGTGCGCATGCGCGCTAGTGTCGCTACGCGCGTTGCGTTCCAGGGATCGGCAGGGCTCAGGCTTCCCCCACTCCACGTTATTCACCGGGCTCCCCCACTCTCTCGCCCTTTCTAGAACTCGACTGAGCGGCTCAGCCTGAGCCGTGAACGCCAGTGCGTGTTGTGGCGGGGAACTGGATGGTTGTGAAATTGAGGAAACGCGTTGAACAGTGCGCGACGTATTAAGGAATAGTAGAGAAGAAACTTCGTATTATCGGTACAAAGAACAAAGATAGAGCGATATCGCGTTATTCGTCGTCGTATACAACGTCAGGGTTGATTTAACGTGTTCAGTCGAGCGTGACGTCATGCATCGCTCTATCCTCGTCTCTCCTACGCGCCACGTTCCACGTGATTCGACATCAAGCGTGACGTCATGCATCGCTCTATCCTTGTCTCTCCTACTCGCCATAGCGTTGGGTCAAGCGTGACGTCGTAAACCGCTCTATCTTTGTCTCTCCTACCCTCACGCGACTCCGCGTCAAGCGTGACGTCATGCATCGCGCTATCCTCGTCTCTCCTACGCGCCAGCGCTCCACGCGACTCGACATCAAGCGTGACGTCACGAATCGCTCTATCTTCGTCTCTCCTACTCCCCACTCTATACCCAGGTCTCCCTCCGCTATTCCTTAGGGTGAAAGTGGGGGAAAGTGGTTGTTCCGCGGGCAACGTGCCGATTCCTGGTCGCATTCGATTCCGGTACAGTGCTCGTTAACGTCCGACTTCCGTGATTGTTGATACCGTGGAAACGTGTCGTTCGTCGTGCGAAAAATTCGCGCGTCGACTTCTGAGCTGCTCGAAAAATGAATAAAACGAGTAAAAAGGGAGGACCACACCGGTCCCTCCCTCCGCCGCCGCCACCCCCCTCCCCCCCTCCGATTCGGGAGTGTTTTGTTGATCAGCAGAACGCATCGCGCGGCGTAGCGTGCATGTTTTAAGTACCAGACCGACGGAAATTTTAGCGAAAACCGGATATTCGGCCAGGTTAAAGAGTCTGACCGTCACAGCCTGGTTAGGAGACCTCTCCACCGACGCATCGTGTAAGTATTCCCTCTTTGTTTTCTGTCAAAACCGTTCGAAACCGTACGCCGAGAGTAAAAAGTACGAACGTTTACGTCGCGACACATTTTCCTGCCACATCCATGAAAATGCAAGAAAGGAAGGAAGCAAAAAAAAAAAAAGAAAAAGAAAAGAAAAAGAGATCCGATACCTATCGATGCATACGAAACCGTATATGTACAAACACGCACACGTGGCGAGAAACGAAAATAAGAACCTACTTCTCGCTGGTGTTTTTCTTCTTTTTTTTTCCGCGGGGGTGAGATTTTCTTTTTCCGTCCGGATTCAATCTTGGCTGATCGATAGCAATGTTCGTCGAGTACGTGATTTCGCCAATTGCATGCCAGTTCGCAGCCCGCAATCTGTCACGCTGTATTACAGTTCACCGTCCGATGCAAGTGTATATGCGCGGACTGTTTATAGTCCTGTATTTCCCGGCATGGACGCCGCCTGCTATCGTCGGGACGAAATTAAATGGTCGTTCGAGAACCACATTGGACGATCTCGAACGGCCATTTTGTATCCCGAATATAGCTTCCGATCGCTGGGTGCGCGGAGTCAGGCTTTTATTTCCAATAAATACAGGGTGTCCCAAAAATGTTGTAACACCTTGAAAGGGGTGATTCGGGAGATGATTTGAAACAACTTTTTCCTTAGCGGAAATGTTCTCCAAGGCTTCGTTGTGGAGATAATAACGGAAAACACTGACCAATCAGCGGCCGCTCCAACGGTATACTCGTGCTCTGATTGGTCCGGAGTTTTTTGTTAGTATCT